CAGAGATAAATAACATCTGGTTTCTTTCAAATAAAATCAAATGTTAAGAGGAGGATAATTGTTAACCACCAGTGATCGTGTGTTTGAGGGTCAGGATAAAATCATAGCAGAATTCAACTTATATTAGCAAAAACCTGCAGGTAAAAAAAAAAAACAAGCACTGAAAAAGCAGATCACTGCCTGCATCCCCGTTCCTACCTCTACACCTCTTCACTTTTCGCCCCCCTCTGTCTATTCGCTCCCTTTGATCCACTCATTTCTGGCACAGGAACTCTATGTAAACTACCTGTGGATGATGGGGACACTTTAGAGTAGATTTACAAATAAATTCAAACGGTGGCACTTAGTCTAAACCTCCTCTCTAAGCTTTTCTCCACAAATCACATCACAACATCTCAGACCATTTCTCAACAAAAGTTTTTTCTCTAAAAAAAAGAGGGGGTATAGGGGGAACAAGTGTTTGGACAAGTGAGTGTTTTTGTTCAGCCTTTACACCAAAATCAAAGTCCTCAAATATTTGAACTTAATGCCACACGACGCCTCAGAGAGTCTAACCCCAAAACTAAGTCCGGGTTTTCTCACAGATCCACTCAGAGTGAAGTCCTTAAAATGCAGGGAATGTAATAAAAAGTTCATTTACACGTCATTCTAGTAGCGATGATTATTATGGCTAATTATTTAAATCCATAAATCTTCCGGAGAACCGTTCAATACGCAAGAAAATAAAAAAATTAAATTAAAAAACGAACCGAACATATAATTGCACATAAATATAAAGTTGGGGGGAAATTGACAATCGGGTCGAGGTGTGTAACTGTGCGCACAGAAGACGATTAATTAAGATGCCGCTGTGCTCCTGTGCGCAGAATTCAGTTAGAGGAGTGAAATAGGAGCCAAGAGTGCATCAAAGAGCAGGAGTGCGCTTCTCCCTGCCGTCACCCTCTGTCTTCTCCTCTCCTCTCTCCCTGCCTCATGAACGACCCGCTGGGCTGCAGCAGCAGCAGCAGCAGCCGCAGCACAGACACAGACTCTGGTGGAGACAGAGCCGTGTGTCCCTGTATAGCAATCAGGACAATGTGCTGAATGGACAGTCTAATTATAAATGTGCCATTTAGGCTTGCATTAGGGTCTCCAGATCCGCCTTACCTTATCAGGAGACCTGCCTTCGCTGGTGCACACTGAGAGCAAAAACGAGGAGGTTTGAAAAACAATTCAATTATTTGACATTTGCTGCGTAAATTATTATTATTATTTGGGTTGAGTTTTCAAACAAATAAAAAGGAAAGACAATTAAAATATATATATTTGTTTTGTGGTCAAAGATTCAGTGAGATCATGTTCAACAATAGCTAATACTTTCATATTTAGTCTGCTTCTCTATTTATAATGTTAAAGTCGTATCTGCACAGGGTTGGTCTCTCTGGTTTGGTGTTCATATTTAAATGGAAAAAGAAATTAAATATGAGGCAGCGCCGCATTCTCATTTTTGTCTGATACATTTTTAGTTTACACACTTGTAATTATTTGTCAAACGGCACATTGAAAAATGAAAAGGGCTTTTCAGCATTAAAAAATATGAAAAAAGTTTAAATAAACGATTAAAAATTAAGAAATGTTTATTTGACGGAAAAGGGATTATTTTTCTGTACATGTCCAACAATAATAATCCGATTAAAGATGAAAAGATTAGCCTTCTAAAGAACACTTTTAAAACTTTGTGTGTGTGTTTCTGCTCTCTCTCTCTCTCTCTGTCAGTGTGTATGCGTGTGTGTGTGTGTTTACATCGGCTTTAGTTTTCGGCTAAAATGGAACTCTGTTGAATGCCATCTCTATCTAAGTAAACAAGCCTGCTTTGATTGTATAATTTAAATTTATGGCCGCTGCATTCTTCAGAGGTCCGTTCCCCTGAACCCGGGAAAAAAGAGTGAATTCCCCGGCTGTACCAGGGCCACAAATGCTGCCTCTCTGGCACAAAAAAGGAAAAGGAAAAGCCGGACAAATATCGGGAGGTGTTTTGGGTGTAAAAGGAGACAGGCTGAGGGCAGAAGCCCTGGTGAGAAGACAGGTAGAAGAGACAGGACAAAAACAATCTTGTTCACGCCGGGACTGAAAGGAAACCCACGGGGCGCGTGTCGCTCTGTGAACGGTGTCGCGGTGTGGACACAAAACAGCCTATAACAGTCAAAAAGTTTGGGAACATGTTAACAAGGAGCTGGGGCAGAGCCGTGACGTTACACTCCAGTGGTTTAATGGGAGTTGGGAGGAATTTTAGTGTAATTGTACAACAGCAGCTCGGGTCGCTGTAAACACGGCTGTTAGCGCTGCGCAGACCGACATCGTTTACAGGCTTCACGGCTGTGGAAAACGAGGGAAAATGTCATTCTACCTTTAAACTCTGCTTCACGGTGAGTCGGGAAGCCGTCGTGGCGGAGTTGGACGGTTAAACACAGCCTTCTGTCGGTTTCGCTGTCCCTGGCGTTGAAGCTGAGCGTCTTTGAGTCCAAAGCGCGACGTGCAAGTGTGCTGTCGCCTCTGCTGCGCGTGTTTTGGCGAAAGCGACGTAGAGAAGAGTCGCGGAAACTAAGTTTGACGCTCACTCCTCCCGGCGTCCCGAACCCTCCGAGCTGAGTTCACTTCTGCGTGAATTTATTTGCCGGTCCAAACGCGCGTCCGAGCGTGGAACTACTGGTGCTGGTCAGAGGCTTTTCAAATCAGAAAAAGATAGAAATGAGGAGAATAAAGTAGTTCTGTTTACCTTGATGACGGAGGCGTGGAGTGGAGGCAGTGCGCGTCTGTTTCCCCCGTGGACGAAGGAAACTGAGAGTCAGCTGTGAGTGAAAACTTGAGTCTGTGCTCGGACACACGCGGCTGTGGCGAGGGATTCCCGTTTACACACACATGCACACTTTCTCTCTCTACTCCTCCTCTGTCTGTGTGTCTGTATGTGTGTGTGTGTGTGTGTGTGTGTGTGTGAAGTTCAGCTGTCCAACAACTACAAGTGGCTTCTGTTGTTCGCCTACCTGTTCTTTAACCTCTCTACCTCTCTCTCTCTCTCTCCCACTCTCTCTCACCCTCTCTCTATCTTCCTCTGACTGGAGAAGACGGACTGTCAATCTTGGCAATCAATGCGCGCAACCGTGTCACAACTATTCAAAGCGTTTCCCGTCGTGCAACATCAGAAAGTGAGTGGCCAGGGCATTGATCTGAGGGAGGCAGAGAGAGGCAGGACTCCCCCCCATCCTCCCACCTCCACCTCCTCCTCCCCCAGACAAGAGACGCGAGTGGAAGAAAGAGGGAGGAAGGGGGGAGACATAAGAGAAAAAGAAAGAGGAAAGACGGAGTTAGTTTTTTAGTTTTTTTTCAAAGTGCATTTGGAGGACATTATCCGTCGTTAGGAGCTCACTTGAATGGGCATCAGTGAATAAACACGGAGACTTCTTCATCATGCTGCACTTTGACTTTCATTAGGACCTATTTGACATGTGTAAGTTAGAGAAACAAAATGACCCTGCTGCTGCTGCTGCTGCTGCTGCTGCTGACCTTCCGGCTGAGGAAAAATGTGTCAGAACTAGAGGAAACTAGATTCATCTGAAGCCAGATAATGTGAGCAGGTGAGAGAAAACTCTGGAAGGGGCTAAAGACTTTCACACCTGTGAGACACGACACGGATTATTTGCATAAAATCCATCAGCACCTCGAACACACCGACGTTTACTGACACCTTATATCCACTAACAGAACATATTAATATTAGATTCAGAATTCTTCGGCTTCACCCTCAGATGTTTAGATTTTTTTTGTGACATTGAGTGAATCTTACATCTTATTTTATTTTATAAATAATGACTGTGATAAATGACAGTGTTAAAGACTCAGCTGCTCAGACAGAATGCCGATCATTTAGATTTTACCTAGCCTTTTAATTACGACTTTTTCACACAGTATTATTCGACGTTAATTAAATTATTACATTTACAGAACATGTCAGAAATGTAAAAAGAATCCACATCCTGGTACCAGAAGCAATTTTTAAGTGGACATTAAATTTACACATATATTTAATTTTATATAAAGGGGATAAAATAATAAATACATCGGATTTGTTGTGTGCTTTTTTTGGATTGTCAAAAATAAAATATAACACCTGCTTTTGCAAATTTTGATATTTTCTGATTTGCACCAAATATTTAATTAAAAACGATATGTAATATTGCACATGTATATTATGTAATAGGGTCCCAAAACAGGGATGTCATCATTCAATAAAGTACAAATCTTCACTGGTCACTGGGTAGTTTGGTTTTTAGTAGCAAATGCAACGTATGAAAATGAAACCACATTAAATAAACCAAATACCCAGCAGTTGACCCTCACGTTCGCCAAAAGAGTTATTTTAACCCGGGTGTGTTAATCCTAATCCAAACTGCACAAGCGTTTAATCGATCATCAAAAGCACCCCCCTCCTCCACCCCTCCACACACACACACACACACACACACACACCACTTTTTGGGCCAGAAAAGACGCAGACGCAGCTAAAGGAGTGTTACAGAGACAGTGGTCAAATTAAATTCCACTAGTTGACAGGAGAGACGGTGGATTAACGGAGCAAATATCACAGCAGTCAGTGTTGAGAGAGAGAGGGAGAGAGAGGGAGAGAGAGGTGAGCATAAAACACAAGTGTCACAACATCAGAGTATCAGGTATCAGAGAAGAGAAAGGAAGAAAAGTTACTTACAATGAGCTGTGACAGCAGGAGGAAGTTGTGATTGTTAACGGCACAGACACAGAGCTAAAAGAAGGAGGGGAGGCAGCAAGAGAGAGAAGGGGAGAGAGAGAGGGAGGGAGAGAGAGAGTGTGTGAGAGAGAGCGTGCAGAGCATCACTTTAGACTCCAGGAGCATCAAAATGATTCGCTCCGGACGCACCAATAGACACAGTGTGTTGTGTGTGTGTGTGTGTGTGTGTGAGAGAGAGAGAGAGAGAGAGGGCGGGGGGGGGTTAGTGTTTTATGAAACTGTACACATGTAGAAAGTCACAGAGTGTGAGAAAGATTTTTCTATCTGTTATTTAGAAGGTTTGGGGGGGCAGGAGGTCCTTATTGAGGTCTGAGTTATGGTGAGGTGCAGTGGAGTACAGATGAGATGACACATCATCTGTGTTTGGTTATTGTTTTTAGATAATGTTGTTAAAATGTGTGTAAATTAATTTTTGATGGGTTGTGGACGGGTCTCGGTCCAAACCCATCATTGTGAGGACACGTTGACATTTATTACGATTACTACGGTAACAAAATTTAATGTTGTCGCAAATTTAGATTGGAGTTGGGTTAAATATTTTCCCTACCTCACCTGCGGTTAGGAGTGTATATTTATCTCTGCAAAAAAAAAAATAGAAGAAAGAAAGAATGTTCTCTTCAAAAATATCTTCAAACTAAGAAACGTTTCGTACTTCTGTAATCCTCTTTAACTTGTACCAGTTTTTTCCAGTTATCGTCTTTAACACAGACGTCATTCAGTCGAACTGTTCAGTGTCTGACTGTTGTCTGTCGACGACAACAATCCAAACTCTTCTAACAACAGTGTAACAGTGCAGTAAGTGCGTCTTCGAAGGACGGGACTCTTCACTCACCGCCAGTACTCCAGTGTGTGTTTGATGTGTCTCATGCGCCACCTTTTGGACACTGGGGGAACAACACCAACAAGTGTCACCTGTAATGCAAAGACATTGGAGAAATAGGATCTGAAGTAAACTTGGTTCAAAGAAATTAATCATTTCTTCAACCAAACTCGATCTGGCTGCTAATGGTAACTAGTATATTAATAATAATATCGCAATACGAGAAAAGCGAGCTCTAATTATTTTGTATGTCATTATTCATTTTATTTTTAAAAGCTCTAATAGGTGAGTGCAGCAGTGTCACTGGGACAAACGGACGGTAGCAGAGAGTGTGTTTTAGCAGAGTTGACAGCAGCGGCTGCTGCTCTTTATGGCTCAGATGGTTGTGCATATAAGGAGTGGGAGAGACAGACCAACTTGTTGGGGGGTATAAGGCAGCCTCATTAGCATAGGCTGAGAGTCTTTGATGCATCTTGAAATTCAAGTCTAGCCCATAAATATTTGAGGAGGAGAGTGCATAAAAATCAACATTTTTGTTACATTAAATTAACATGTGTTCTCCTCCTGTTCTGCATGGTTAATTAGAAGAACGCCATTCAGTCACTGGGTGAGGATGGGGGCGGGGTGGCGATGATGGTGATGATGGTGAAGATGGTGATGATGGTGGTGTGTGTGTGTGTGTGTGTGTGTGTGTGTGTGTTAGGGTACAGTGCAATCACAGCAGGTTTCAAAGGTCCTTAAAGGGCTTCAGTGATAAAACAGGATTCATCATCTGTATTATGTAGAAAAATAATAAAAGGTCTTCATCCTTTGACTAGGACAATAACACTAGCACTGGGCTGGGACTCCGAGTGTGTGTGTATGTGTGTGTTAGAGAGGGGCGGGGTTATTTGAGGTCACTGAAGTATGATTTTTCTTTGTTTTACAGCCTCTTTCCTTAAAATTGTGTGTATGAATGTGTGTTATATGTGCCCGAAACATTGAGCTTTCATAGGGAAAACAATGTTGGTTATGGGATGCTATGAAGTGATTTTCTCTTTGATTTCATGACCATAAAGCCTTAAATATTATTCTCCTTTATGTATTTATATGTTTACCTATTCATTTATTTTTTGTAGTAATTTATTTATCTCTCTCAGGTACAGGGCTCCTCTACGGGGCGGCCATGTTGGACAACAATGTTTGTGCATTAGGTGACAGAAGGGACGTATTAAATACCTTCTGTGTTTTAGTGACAACGGAGAACTGCAGTATTTTCCACATGCTGAAACATGAAAAAGAAAGGAAAACAAGGTGAGAAATATTCAACCAGAGAAAAAAAAATTAGCATGAGCTGTTTGTTAAACACACACAATGTAACTTAACAAAACACCTTAAGTGAAGACGTCAGAAACCACACTCACCTAATGATGAAGGTTCAACACATGGACATGAAGCTGGATAATGTGCTCACAAGTCATCATCGTTTCCATGAAGGCAGCTGTGAGATAGAAGAAGAAAATTAACACCATTTAAGTATTATTTTGTTAATATAAATTATAGTGAATGAAAAAAAAGATATGACCTCTTGTGAAAAGTTTTGAAACTCTTAAGGGTACAGGTTTTTAAACTGTGTTTTATTCATGCTGATACAACAACAATAACAGCTAAAAAGCTAAATTCAAAGCTAAATTCAAATAGACTTCTTTATTACATTTAAATATTATTTTATATATAAAAAATATATATTTCCCTTATATCCTTTTGTTATAAGAAGGAAGTCAAACTCGTTTTTCTGTTATAGATTTCTTTGTTCGGTAAAGTGTAAAGTTTCTAGTGTTAACACACACATCGTGTTACCATATTAATAAACTTTGTTTCCACTGGATTATAAAAGAGGACAAAGCTAGCTCAGCACCCTGTGACAACGAACGCTGACTAACTATGTCATTTTCAGAATAATAAGTTGTGCAATTAACTCCAGCACTGTTTGAATACATGCAAATCCTTTTCTCCCTGTGGCAGAGTGGCGCTCTCTGTTCTCATTAGTTGACCCAAAATCCCCTGGTTGTGACTGTGGTTTCATCAAAGTTTGGTCAGGATGTCAGTTTTCCTTTCAAGTTAACAGAGAAGCGCTGGTTCATCGTGTTGAATGAGGACGAGAAACGTTTCTCTTCTAATAATAGACCGGACTAACACAGTAACAATGTAACATAGGTTACTCTGCACCACTAGTGTAACATCATTACAAAAAATGCTCCTATGTATATAAACATATATGCATAAATATATGTATATATATATATATATGCATATATTTATTTGCAGATTAGTAGGTAGAGTTTGATTCCCTTCTATAAAGATCATTTCCAGTTACATGCCTGTGTGTCCTTGGGCAATAACATAAGTTTATATACAGTAACTTTATGTAAACCTGACTAATGCTCTCTGTTGCCATTTCTCCTGTCAGTTTTCTGGGGCTCTAAAGGCACCATGTGGTGATTCATAGTATCTTCCTTATATTTAAGTTAGAATTTGAAGTTGTGACATTTCAAATCAAAATGTCAAGCCCAAAAACTGGATGAAAATAAGACTGATGTGTTTATGGCTGAAAGGAGTAAATATTTAACTATTTGGAATTATGTATGTCTTGAATGTACGTATGTATATGTTCAAGTTATGACTGAAACAGGTTGTTAAAGACACTGATATTTATCAACAGGTGTGAATTATTTTGCTGCATGATTAAATATAATCATGTACATTCACAATGTCATCAACGGCTGTATGAAAATGTGTGTGTGTGTGTGTTCAGAGCTGCAGGGTTAACGTCAGGGGCCCAGAGGCTTTTGCTTCATTTACAAAGCAATTGCCTCTGTGTACAACGGTCCCAGTTTACCGTAGGTATTGTAAAAGCCTGGCATTTAAGGAACATGAGGCGCTTTCATTGTTTAATGTCACACAGCAGCAGCTTCTCAACACACACCCTTAATGATTCATGTCAGAGGAAT